CAAATTTTTATTAATAAAAAAATTTCCATATTGAGCAAAAATCGGGCGTTACTTTTGTTGGCTACTGTACGTACGTATCTATTTATTTTTCTAAATCTAGTAATTTGTATAGATTATATATTTAGTTATGTATACACTAATTTTGTATTCTATTTGATCATGTTAGTTACTTCATATAGTTAGTACTTAATCTTTATTTATCGATAGTCAGATTGTGGGTAACGCAAAGATAGTAAATTAGAGATCTGACGTAAGAACAACAACGCGTGTTAGGCAGACTGCAAATTATTCAAGTTCTTAATTTAGAAGGACTCAACGGAGAAAGGAGTCATCAGTGGGATGAGATATAAATATTAGTGCAAAATTCTGACGTTGAAGAAATTACGGAGTAGCTATTCCGTGGCATATCGGGAGGTCTGCGCATTCTAAAATATGAAAGAACTATCAGTCAAAATTCCAAATTGTCGATTATTTGATCAAAAATTTGGTGATTTTTATTCAGCCTTCTAAAACCCGCTTATGATTGTTTATTATAAATTCTACCCTAAAGCTGACCCTTAATACTAAAAAAGCCAAAAAAAATGCACCCCAAAATTTGTATTTTTCGGTTGCTTGTCTATTTTATGTTATACACCATTTCATTTAATTTAATCCGTCACACAGATCCACCGACATATATAAAAGACATGGAAACAATGCCATTAATAATAATTTTTGCTCTTTACATCAAAAAAAAAAAAAAAATCAAAAACAAAAATAATATAAATTTAAAAGTCTCAGTAATACAATATAACAGTGGCAAATTGACGGATGTTTTATTTAATAAATAGTCCACCATAGTGACCAGTTTTAAGCCATTCAAGAAATATTTATAGGATTGCATACATTCACATTCGCACCCATTTTTGTGAGGTAAGCTTTTCATTTTTCCACCTTTGGATTTATTAATTTCTGTGGTCTAAGTGGAGCAAGTTTTTTTTGTAAAGATAACGATAATTTAACGTTTATTAAATGTCGTTACAATCTATATAGAGTAGAAACCATTATTTGTAACTCTGGTCAAATTTTCAAAATTTGCAGATCATTTGGCCAGAATCGGAATGGAAAACCGAATTTGGACAAATCTAGCAAAGTTATGAGTAACGGTAATACGTAAATTAAAATGCGTTATTTAGACCGCCATTTCTGGAACTTAATATCTGCAAGCTTACGCAATCACGTGACTGGATTTTTTTTGGTGGCGATACTGGGGAAAGATAGTAAACATCCGTGAACATAGAATCTAACTTTAGAGCAGAAAGAACGTATTATATATCAAGGAATTTATAAGCAACATTTAGTCAGAAGTTATGTTGCGCCCGATATTAACGTTCAAGATTTCTTTTTTTGGGTTGCAAGACTGCGCAGCAAATCTTATTGCGCCAAATAATATATACTGTTTAGGATAATTATAGAAGAAATACGTACACACTAATCGGAGAAACGATGCCATACGTGTAAATATGAATAAACATTGTAACTATGATTGGAATAAATGACACGGGCACAGTAACCTTGATATAACGAAATTTTACATAAATAAGTTATAACTCAGTATTGACATTTAAATTGTTTTACTAATTGTCGATACATCCAGAATAACTGCATATAAAACGGGGGGCTTCATCTAACTTAAATAACACATTAAAATTTTTGGTGCGTAGTAGAATAAATGAGTGGTGAAGAGAACGGAAAAGGGGCGTTCTCGACCGAACTTAATCTGCTTGATCCAAACAGGCCATATTTCTTTTCTGAATATGAACAAATTATTCCAAAGCTACCATATCCGCCTGAAATAAAGGCTGATGATTTAGTCAGGGATTTGTTATCGAAATATGAAACGAAATCACCGAAAATGTTGAATGAGTTCTTTATTTATCGTAAGGCATTTGTTCAAGCATTCAAGAAACAGAAACTTCGACCAAAAATGACACAAGTATCTTCATTGGCGTCAACATCTTGGCATAGTGAATCAAATGATGTAAAAAATGCATATAGAAAAATTGCTCGTGAAGCCGAGCAATTGTATATTAATGAGAGGAAAAGAAGACAACAGCAAAAAACGATCGATAAAATACAAACATCAGAGTCTAAAGTAACATCTACTTCAATTTCATCCGGATCGACTTATCCGGTCATCTCTAGTCCTTCGCATAATACGGTAGTTAATGTTACACCTAGACCATTAATCGACTTTAAACCGAACCTACAAGTTTTAGACACTAATGCATCATCGGCTTTCAATGGATCTTACGAACAAACTTGTCCTACTTCATTAGAAGAAAATTACTATTCAAATCCAATTATGTATATACAAGATCCACAGCCTATAATGCAGCAGCATGGAACTTCAATTCCAACTACCAACGCAAATTTTAACATTCAATATCAATTGATATATTCAGGGAATCCCTTACCGACTGAAGAACGTTATCATCGTACTTTTAATACCAAGAATAGTTTGTATAATTCTAATATATCTGGAACACAATATCCATACACTCAAACATCTAACCAGGCTTTAAATTCGCATAATATATCAGATTATATCAACGGTGGTGGACCTCTTGGATCACCTGCTAATGAAACAAATGGATCATTCTTTGAATAATTGATTTCATAACAAACAAGATTGACAAAAGGCAAAATCAATAACAAATGACACAACTCTCGATTTTGCGAGGGGTGTACGTACGACCTACTTTTAGGTGACAACTTTTACCGTTAGCATTAGATAAAAATTCGGCGATCTTAATATTCCAGTAGTTATTTAGTATTAAATAGCGATAGCCACAAAAACAAACACAGGACCGCAAGAATTGTTTTCTTTACTTTGTACGGTGTTTATGTTAAATATTCTAAATAATTACTTTGTTTAGATAGCCGAAATTTATTATTAAAAAAAAAAAAAACCCTTTCGTTATCTTTGCTTTTTTTTTTTATTTTGATCATTATTTCTCACGAAATTGCATAATATACGCAATAGATATCGAAATTGCTGATTATTTGATGATTTGAACTTTTACAGTAAACTGTCAGAATTACATCATGTTCAAAAATCCACTAGATCACATATACGTCAATAAAAATTTCATTTCAACTGCGATTAAAAATATGAACCCACATTTATATATTTTTCATTTATAAAAACACAAAAGTGCAAGTCTAAGTGTATTATTAGGGATGGTCACGACTTAGTAAACTAGGACTCACTCACTAACACCTACGGTAAGTCGTGATCATCTCAGCTATACACTAAATTGAAAACAATATTATTTATAACATTAATGAAATAAAAATTTCAAGATCAAAATTCATGACTTTAATGACTTTAATATACTGGATACGACTCCTATCCCCCTTTATGTAATATAAATAAATTCAAGAATTAAACTTCTTCATAATAATTAAATCTTAGTTCTCTATTCTCATCACGATATTTATGGATAATCCAAAAGGCATGTAAAATGCCTTGAATGAATAAAGATAAAAAAATATTGTAAAGGTTATCTATGTTAATGATCATGATGCATAATACTTTTTATAGTTTTTTTTTTGTTTTTTACCTGGAATAAATCCTATATTAAGACGAAAAAAAAGAAAATACAATAATTGGATTTATTCGAAAAAAAGAAATAGATATCTAAATATAAAATCAAATTTAAATTTACCTATGAGCGTCAAGATAATATTGATGCTATTGTTTACGGGATGAAAAATTGTATAAATATTAGTTTTTCATTTATTATTAGTTTTCATTTAAAAAAAGAACGAAACCCCCCAAAAAATATATGCATACCAAAAATCCGCATTACAGCATCCTCGTTTCAAACAAACACCAACAGGCGGCAGCATAAAAGCAAGCACCATTAACAAGATCTCAGATAAACTATATCTGGCCATTTTTTTTTTTGAAATATGTAAATGCTATTTTGTTTTTTAAAAAAAAAACGAATAACGACAATAAAATAGATTTGTTAGATTTGTGACATCATAATAATGACAATTTTATTCAGGTTATATCGATATCGTATTGATGATCACATAATTAAAAGATCCTATCTTTTTAATATAATACGCTCAGGTGGGGCTCAGGTGTTCCAATTGATTATTGCAAAGATAATCAATTATAAAATGCATAAGATCAAAGCGAAAAGGGAGAAATTATATTCTTTTCTTTTTTTGCCCAATCATGGGTTTGTAAAAAAACATTTACTTAAATAATTGACTTTATTTGTTTAGCTGTCATTATTAAAAGAAATGGAAATAAAATTCATTCCTTCGACTTATACTAAAGCGTCTTCTTCAACCGGCATCGTCCTTAAAAAATCATCAAAAAAAGGAATTGTTCGTCGTTCAAAAAAATCTTCTCACCCAACTATGGGTTTGTAAAAAATTATTTTAAATGAATTTTTTAGTAATCATTAAGATTTCCCTCAATCGTTAACGTTGATTACTATTGATTAGGGTTCCGCATAGGCTGGACTATCCATGGAGCATCCATGGACTGGTCCAATATGGGCCGGGCTTAGTCCAAAATT